CGTTGCTGTTTTTTGTTGGTGCTGAATGGATTCCGAGTCGTGGGTTTAACGATTAAGCCCTGTAGTAGGTTTATAATTATAACACGCGGAGCTGCAAGGTGAGAATACTTCGAATAATCAACTTACTCTAAAGAACAGAATTTCTTTTAATAAAAGGTAGCCCTAGTCCTTAAAATCCCCAACTCTGTTGCCGTTCAATGTCCACAAAAGCCGCTGAAGGTGAATCACAACATGCCACTTATACGTAATTGATAGTGATCCGCTCTGTTGTTAATAATGTCTCTGTCTTAATAATCAAAATTTTTTCGTTTGTACGTTTGCTCTCTTAGCTCTGTCGGCAAGCCGCTTTTTTTTTTTTTTTGTTTAACAGCACATCGCCTCTTTTGTTTTGCAATCGGAAATCTGTAAATAGATTGGACTCTCGAGCGTAAGAACCTTTTAAATGTTACACAGGAGGTTACACATGCTATTGACCAACGTAATGGTTTGCACTTAAGTTGCGACTCGTGTAAGGAGATTTATGGCCAAAAGGCAGCGTTTTTGGTGCAAACCAGGACTTTAGACCTTTGGGGTCTGATCGTTGGTTTTCGCAAACCTGAAGATCAGCTCATAGATCTGGATTTTTTACTCAATAGCCTAAAACTGTTGGACGAGTCTCCAAGGCCTAAAAAGTCGACTCCTCGTGACTTGCTATTGCCAAGTACCCTTTAGCTTGCGACTGCAATTCAGCAGCCTTGGGGATATGATCCAGATCTCTTGGTCGTTCTTGGGGACTTTAATCTCCCAGATGTCGATTGGTCATCGCCAACGAATTCAACCTTTCTATTGTCCTCTATGTAAAATGAATTGATTGATGGTCTACATGAAATGTCCATGCGGCAGGTTAATCGGGTGCGTAATTCAAGAAATAGAGCTCTTGTTCAGATCTTAGTGTTGGAGTCGTGCGACAGTGTTGTGCACAGGATTGACCCGCTTTCACTTCCGGAAGAGCCATTTCATACAACTTTGAATTTGGCCATTGATCTACCTGGCCGAGTGCCTATCAAGGAAAGGAAATTTGTTAACCATGTCCGTTGTTTTCGAGAGGCTGATTTTCATAAGCTTAATGATCTTATTTTGCGTGTCGATTGTACAATTGTTCCCAACTGTACAATTGTGCAGACATTGATTTTGCCATTAAAGTATTTTCTGATACCTTGTATTCGCTCGTTGATGTCTGCGTCCCTCTTGATCACCCAGCGAGGTCTAATAGGCTTCCCTGGATCTCAAAGGATCTAATGCGATTTAAAAATGTGAAATCGAGGTATTATAAAAAGTTTAAGAAATCAGGAAATCACTCTGATTTCTCCCGTTATGCAGTTGCCCGATCAAACTTTTCTATGCAAAACTCCATATGCTATAAGGATTACCTTCGCTGTTGTCGCGTTCAGTTTTCACACAACCCTAAGAAATTTTTCAAGTTTTTTGACTTCAAACCTAATACATACATGTATATAATAAAATCAGCCTTGTCCATCGCTTTATCGCTTTTAGCGACCCAGCGACTTTAACACAGTTAAGCCGGTATACTCACCGGGGCCTCATGGTGTTTCCGCTTGTATGCTCAAGTACTGTGCTGCAGCACTATGTAAACCTATTTTAAAAATGCATTGTAGTGTATTGTCTGTAAACACTTGATATTTTGACCATTTGGAAATAATCGTTTATTATTTTCTCTCCATAAGAAAGGTCATAAAATGTCGAACACTAAAGAGGAATTTCCAAATTATCCGCTAACCCAATCCAAAGCTTTTAAAAGAATCGTAACATCTCAACATCAACATTTATGTAGTCCTATTATTTCACCATCCCAGCGAGGGTTTGTGAAGCGTACCCATGCAGCCACGAATCTCGTTCTGGTTTCCCTACTTACTTCCCTAGTAATTAATTGTTCTAAGAAGTGAATGAAGGCTTTTGACTCGGTTAATCACGCCTTACTACTTCAGAAATTATGCCTTTTCGGCTTGACAGTCAATCTTCTTAGCTGGATCTCAGAGTATTTGCGTAACAGAACCCAAAAGGTTCTTTTCAGATATTAGTTAACTTAATGAATACATTGAAATCCGGCAGTCAAGGCAGTCACTTTGGCCGCTCTTTACTCCTTTCATGAAATGAGCTTTTCTCGATACTATCTTACTCTCGCGCACTAATGAATGGTGATGATATACAGTTATGTCTTGCAGATTCAGAAATGGCCTATTTTACAAGCCAAAATTTATGCCTTTCAGCCCTCCCCAAATAGTTTCTAGCACCCTTGATAGTTTACCGCTCGAGCGTATCAACAGTTCCAGTTTAAAACAGTTACACAACAAAGACCCTTTTATATCTCCTATACGACTTATTCATGAGTATGAGTATGAGTCGCCAAGACTGAATTGAATCTGTACAGAAAAAACTCTTGTCGTTTGCCTTTCGTGGTTTATACTGGGATCTTCGTGTGCGGTTACCGTCATACTCCAGTAGACTTCTAATGATTAATATTCTTCTTTAATTAATCGTACAACAATGCTTGGTGTAATATTTATTCATAAGATAGTTACGGGTGAAATCGCCTTTTCTGGGTTGACTAGCCAAGTAAAGTTCTTCGTCCGCTTAAATGTTGTTCAACTAACTATGCCTTGCATGAACCGTTCCGGGTACTCTGTGATGATTACAACAAGCATTACAGGGTATTCTCCATGAAGTCTTCTCTCCTTCGTATAAATTCATCTATTTTAAACTATTTAGCAAGTGGATAGTCCTAGCCTATAGTCTTAGTTTGTATTCAATTTTGAACTTCGCGACTCGTGTCGTAAGTTACACGACTGCGCCCCTCGGTCGGGAGGTGGGATGCAGCAAATTACTGATCTGCATTATAACTATACTTTTTAACTCTGTCACTTGAGATTGTCTACTCAACGCCAAATGTGCTATATTGGCAACAGGTCTATGCATAATAGAGTAATCATAGTTGATAATCATAGTGAGATAGTTTTTAATTTCAACATCAAGGTTTTACGAATTCAATTTACACTTCTCTCACGCAGATAGGGATTGACCCAGTCTCTGTGCTTTTTCTTCTCCTTCTGCTGCTCCTTTTCCTGCCACTCCACAAACCTACGTGACCAACACTGCCCACGAGAGCGCAGCTTCACTTCGGCGGCAAAGAGGTAAAGTTACAAAAGTTCGTGGTGGAATTGAGCGGCCGACGCGAGCGCATGGCTTGGCAGCAAGGTGTTTGAAACAAAGAGAGAGAATTAAATGTTTGTGGATCGCTAGGGTCCCAACAATAACAAATCTATGAAGTATATTTTTCCTGGATGCTTATGAGAATGGCTGGTATACAGTATTGATTCGCCTATGCAACAGCAAAGACTTATAGGTTAATACATACTAATAAGCAAGATCCGGCAGTCAATTTTATTAAAATTAGTTACAGTATTGAGTAATAAACCATCTTTAAGTATTTTATTATATATACCATTTTACTAACGTTGGAAAATACGAATAAATATTTAAGACTACAAAACACAGCTAGCTAAAAAAGAAAACCATTAAAAACACTATAAAAGTTAACCGGATTATAAAATAAATTATCCTGGTGATTCTAGCTCTAGAACGGGGTGCGTACAACCGAATTATAAAATAAATTATCCTGGTAACTCTAGCTTTAGAACGGGGTGCGTACAGGTTTCTCTATGTACTGTATGCCCTGTGTTAGTAGCTTATCTGCAACATTTGGTTACTCTAGCTTTAAAACGGTCTGAGATACGGATTTTCACAATCCCCTGCTGGAAGTGGTGATAAAATATTACTATAGAGAAAATAAATAAAACTCATAAAACGACCTGTATTTTTTTAAAATATAAATTTATAATGTTATATACAAAAATGATGAGAGTCACAAAACTATTTGTATTTTATATCGTATTTTAAATTTTCTTCCAATAACATGGAGGTTTATACAAAGAAAAGTAGCGTTAGCCACGATGTATAAAACGATTATTAATTGTATTATACAATTTACAACAATTGACATATATGCATATACATTTATAAATATGACGAACCAGCTCCAGAAAGTATAACGCCCAAATTTATTAAAAAAAGAAGTGTTTACGGAAAAAAATATGAGAAAAACAACCCAGTGATTATTTAAAGTAAAAGATTTATAAAGGTGTATTTTACAAGGTAACAATGAAAGATAAGGGCACATATATCCTTACAATTAAGGTTCAAATCGGGCTCCAGCATATAACAAACACAAATACATATATTGCTTATTTACTTGGAGATTGTCATAAGTCAATAAACTCGATTTTTGATGTCATACCATTTCTTATGTTGTGTATATGCAGGGTTCATATCGTGTATACCCTTCAAATGATAATAATTTATTATTTTTTCAGCAAAGTAATACTGAATATAAAACTTTAAACGCATTTTCTGCAAAATAAAATTTTTGGAATTATGACAGTCGTCAAGCAAATAGGCGATATGTATATAAATGCGTACATAAGTACGCACATAATTCAAATTTTCGTTTTTAATTAAAACAATTACAAGCAGGCGTTAATAAAAAAAATGTCATTCGTTTTTTTTTGTAAGTGAAGCTGACTTTTCGGCAACACAATTCGCGTGTTCACAATACATTTGTACCATATTTTCTAAAGCAGCAGCATGACACTCTTTTAAAAGTATGTATATAATATGATGATTATTATATATACTAACATAATGTAAAACAATTGTAGAACAGCTTATCATATAATAAGAATGACTGCTCTTAACTGAATAATATAAATATATTTTATGCGATAGTAAAATATTTATGTAGCTTGCGGAAAACGTTTTTTTACATTGACAGTAAATTTCTAAAATTGGGAGTAAATGAAAGCTGCAAACCAAGAAGGAGATATGGGATAAACAAATTTATTTGTGGTTAGCGAAGTTCAATATTTTCTAAATTTATATAGAGTTACATACATATTAAGATCTCCAGAATGATGTATGTCTCCCAAATACCGGTTTGCAGCCTTGATTTCATAATTAAATTATATAATTAAATGTTGCTATTATTATTCGATTGACGAACTGTTTTTCATATGCATATGTATATAAGTATATCCATATATAACAGATAATTTTTAAAAGTAATTAGGTGAATATAACTGTTAAAAAAAAATGTTCGTTGGTCAATCATATTGGGTCCGCAAGGTAGATTTTTCCATTGCTGTCTTTCCAGTCATACGCAACAAAGTTACTCCGTGGCAAGCAGTGAAAAATTCTCAAAATGCATCTTACCTTGTACTGAATCATCATCCAAGTCGTCTGTGCTGCATGTGATCCGCGCTGTAAGTCCAAACATATGAGAGATATTTTCAATATTAAAAATTAGTTTTTACCTCTAGAACTCTTTGTGGAATTGACCCCACCGATGCTGCCAGTAATACCACCATTACGACTATAGAGAACATTCTCTAAGTATGTTAATCCGTTGTTATTGACAATATTTAAGCCTAGACACGTTTCAATTTGCTTCCAACGGTGCAGGCGTTCCTGTAACTCGTTGGTTACTTCTCCAAGAGCGTTACGTGCTTCGACAATAGAGCGATCAACGTCATCAATGCTCTTACCGTGGGTTGAAACAAAAGCGCCAACCAAGCTTGATCGCTTTTTACGTAATTTTTCACATGCTTCGCGCGCGGATTGAAGTTGTTTCTCAGCACAAATGCGTTTTTTTTGATGGTTCTTGCTTTCTAGCTCATATGTGTACTGTAACCATGATTGCAACTGCTGAGGGGGCGCCCAGCAATTATCAACCAGCTCGAACTCAGCACGTGTTAACTCATTGCGCAACATTTCAATTTCTTTTTTTAGCTGCTGCACCTCAAGATCTGAGCTTGACGAACTAAGTGAAGGTACTTCTTTAAGGCGCCTTTCAAGATCCATTTTCTCCGTTGCAACATTTTCCTGCTCCATACGAGCTAACTCCAATTCCTAAATAAAAGGTTTATACTTAAAAACAAATTTTATTCTGGCATTTAAAATTCACTAGTGTACCTTTTGCATTTCCTGTAGACTTTGTTCAGCCCGTTGTAATCCTTCCATGTCCTGTGCCATCCGACGCAAGTGCCGCTTAGCATTTTTATTTTGTTGGTAGGCATACCAACATCCTATTATAGCACTTAATAAAAGAGTGACAAGAATATAATCCTTCCAACGAGTGCCTGTTTCTGCCAATGACAATCGATTGCCCAATTAATTACCCTAAATTTAAGCATGCAGAACTGTGCTTATTGCTTACCTCGTGGCGGTCCAAATAGAACAACATCCATAGCTTTTAGAGATATTTTTTGCTTATGTATTGGGTCTTTTATACCTAGGACATTGCTTACATAATGTAGATTATTTACAGCCAATCTGAAATAATACAAATTAAATAAAATAATGAGTAAATTTAAGATAATAAGGGGCAGAATATAATATAAAATGCCATAAAGACTTTGTCCACAAGCATAAACAAGAAAACGTTTGTAGGCTGCTCAATGGAAGTATTCCATGTGTATTCTATGTCCTCCCGCCGAAGGTTAAAATATAATAAAGTGAGTCGCGGTACGGTATCCTCTTTGAAAGATGAGTTCATATGTATGTGTATGTATATGTATGTATTTCATTGTATTTCATTACATCAAATTAAATGCAAACAGTAATGACCGGAATACTAAACAGTAATAAAATAACAAGCAAAAAAAAAATTGGACAGCGATTTTGACCAACTCCTCCTAGTGGCGCCTCAACATTAGTTTCAGCGTTAAAAACTAAATCTCTTGTGCCAGCCTATTAAAATAATGGAGGTCTTAAATTTTAACTTTACAACCTTCAACATTAACGCTCTCAACAGTATCAGATACTTGGATAAATCCGGAATCAGATTCTTCTCCGTTTCTTTCAAATACACCACTTACAGGTGCGATCTGTTGAATCTGCTCAGATATCTTGATTTGATCTTTTAATACAACAGTGCTGTGCACAGGATTGACCCACTCACGACCTGAAGATCGCCTTCTTCCTACTTTTGACTTGATATCAATAGGTAACAGAATTAAATTGTGTACTCTGTTATCAAACCTGCTATGTAACTTACATGCGGGTCTAGGTAAGAAAAACACTAAAAATACTTATATGGCGAACTTTTTTCAAACATTTTTGGAATCTAGAATTTTTTAAAGCTTCTTTCAGATTAAACCTGCAGTTTTGATCAAAACTAGATAATCTCATTACCGATTCCCGTTCCCTAATGGAGTATATATATTAAACATGGAATATATGCTAATCATTTTCCTATTAATCATTATCCCATTTAAAAGCTAAATGCCAGTATATCGATATAGATGATTTGTGGATTGATTTTATAAGCACACACATGTTTATGAATCATCGATTTATGTATCATTAATTAAAATTAACACAGAAACGACAACTTATACGATGTTATACTCACCGTAGATTTTTTGTATTTTTAACCGAGACCTAGCCTATTAATCAATGGATAATAGGACAATCATATATTATATATGTCAATAAATACGTATTAAAAAATACGATTTACTATCTATATCTTATGGTAGAACATTTCAGTGTTCAATACATGGTTTAGTAACGTAGTCGGCTGGCCAAAAATGGTTCAAGTTCAATCAATACTACCCTGAGCTAAGCTAAGTTCTCGGTGTTGGCGTTGGCAGCACCGTAGACGACAGTTGCAACATTGTTCGGCATCTGGTGGCATGTTGTTTTCTTAGGAATTTTGTATGCTAATTTTGCATTTTTTGGGTATAGGCTAGGGTGCTTGACCGAAGCGGGAAATTGTGTAATTTATGTTTCGTTAACCCTTTCCTTCTTAATTTCTGCTTGTCCTCAAGCAGATCGTCAGATATATGGAGCATTGTTAAGTTGAAATTGTGGTAGGTCGCGTTGGATCGTTTGCGTTGGCCGTATTGTTGTCGCTCTCTTTGTGTTTGGAACGACTTGTAGGGGAATCTGGCTCATTTGTAGCGTGACGGTTTTCTATTTCCTTCGTAGTGTGTGGAGGCTGATGCGGATGAATATGGCGAATATGAACAACGTCACAATTGTGACCCTATTGCTGTTTGTCTGGATTTTCAAATTGTGCAGATGTTCAATGTTGTTGATATGCAAAGCTTCTAGGGATTTCGAGGACAACATTTTAACCTCTTCTGGTGTCATCTGTATGATTGGGCTCTCTGGTTTCATGATGGTCATCCCCGCGTTGTCTACATCTTGATCATTGATGCGGCCTTGTTGTTGTTTTCGTCATGTGCTCAGTAGTGTCATTCCATGTTACATTGCCGTTGAAGTTGTTGTGTAAAATGATACCATCGCAAACTTCTTCTATTTCTTTTAAATGTTCTGCTCTATTGCCCCTAGCTAATTTTGGTATACAATCGGTATGACTTAGGTTAACAATTATATTCTTATAGCAATTCATAATATTAATGAAATCTTTAAAATTGTTACGTATTTCATAAAATTGTTCTTTGCACATAAAAAATTTGTTAATATTTAGTTTTTAGTTTTTTTCGACTGGTTTAATAGGGATATGTTTGTTGGTTCGAATACAAAAAATTGAAATTAAAATTGAAAACATTGGAGAACTAAAGCTTTTCTTCAACTGAAAGTGGGGGTAGATCAGGGTTTTTGAAAGTATTGGTTATTATTGCCAACTCTTCTTTGCTTAGTATAACGGAATTAATAACACTTAATCTTGCCCACTGAATATCATGGCGGATATAAATAACCAATTCCTTTCTTAATCTTATCTGGTCCTGAAAACTAATGGCCATTTCGTTACTGATGAAACTGTCCTTTCTAATCGAATTTGTTAAGTCGTTTAATATTTGGGTTAGCTTATTAAGCCTCCGCTCTAGTTGTCGGCTTATGATTAGCTGCTGCTTAATATTTGAGACCAAACTGTCAATGTTTTGCTCTATCATAACTAAGTCGTCGTGTTCAGGACTCCCTGCCACATACTTCCAAGCTAATCCTATCCTATGTCAAATGAAGTTGTTATAACATAGTGCAAGATGTGATAAAAACTGTTAGTTTTTAGCTCATCTTCGGTGTATTGGAACAACTTGTCGAGTGCGTTTTCTATATGTTTTAAGTCTATTATATGGGCGATTGTTGTGGTGGATATGGTTTGTGTTTCGGTATAGTTCGTGATTTCCATTAAACATGAACCCGCACTCATCATTGTTGTCACTAATCTGTAGAGGGGAATTATTGTTTTTTAAAATTATTTTATGTCCTGATTCTGTTAGAATGCAAGCACCTTTATCCTTTTTTAGTTTATCGTCCTTATATCTTACCACTAACCAAAGAGCATATAGATGGGAATGACGTCAAGGAATGTGTGTCACTTAACTAATTTTATGGCCAGCGGAAATTTGTGCAAAAAATAAAATCTTTAAAATATTCAAATATACCAAATACCAAAAAAAGGATCTTAAGTTCAAGGACGGAGAAGAGCTTGTTATAACGCAATTGGGCTAGCACTGCGTTTATTTCAGGTATTAGATATTTATCCGCAATCGTTGCCTTGTTAAGTTTTCGATAGTCGATGACTGTCCTTTACTTTTTTCTCCTGATGAGTCTAATTTCTTGGGAACAATTCACACTGGTGAATTATATGGCGATCGTGATGGCCGGATTATGCCATCGTCTAAGAGTTCTTTTATTTATTTATTGAAATGACATTTGTTCTATAGGTTTGGCTTTCCAATTTAAGGCACAAGTGTAAGACCAAGAAGTCGTGGTAGATCACCGCGCAGATGTATCTTACAAATGTATCTAATGCTCTGTCTCTGTATGATTTGGTCATGACTACTTCTGTCTTTTCTACTTCGATTCATGCAGCTAACTTAATTTAGAATGAGAGTTAGGTGACTGTGAATATTTTAATGGAATTCTTCCACAGTTTGCTGTTTGCCCTGAAACTAATGGTCTATTAAAGTACTCAGGTCACGTTTGTCCGCAAAGTGTTATGTGAGACATCTGGCGACTGCCTCCCAGTTTAAGGCCATATTGTAGGAGTCGAGTACTTGATCTGCATGATTGGTTATTGTGTTGCGATTCGTTTGTAAGATGCTGAAATATTTTGGGGTACCTTTTCGCGATATGTTGGGTCTTTGGTATAAGCTACAGCTTCGGCAAAGTCGGTAGTGTTATTTTTGACATTCATCTGCTCTAATAATGCTGGCAGCTGCAGGATTAGCATTGCGGGTCTTAGTAGGCTGTCTGCATTGTAAATATTAAGTGCAATGTGCTTATAAAGCTATAGGCGAATTACAAATAGTTGAAGTAATGCTTATGATTTGCTGTTGATAAAAAATAATTTGTATCAATAAGGATTGGGTATAGATTGTGAAAATAATCGTAGCTTATGAAATGTAAGTAATCAATTCAATTTAAAAATTAAAAATAGATTTAAATGGTTTTACGATTCTATTATACGATTTATATTTTTATCATTACTATGCTTTATACTTCTGTAAAGTGAGTATTTGTGCATTTTATAAATTTGATTACTGCAGAGCCTATCTCAGTTTTTAATTATATATTTTTTCAACGTAGTATTAACTTCATTGAATAGATCAAGTCCCATTGTATGTATATAAATTTTGAAAAAAAAGTCGATCTAGCAATGTCCGTCTGTCTGTCCGTCCGTATGAATGAACGCGTCGGCCCCAAAACCTAAAGAGACTGAAATTTTGAACATGGTCCTCCTACTGCCGGTGCAGTACGAGTTTGTTTCCGATATTCAATAACTTTCCCCGTTTCCAAGTAATCGATAAGAATCGATATCCAAATTTTGTTTTTTGAGCCATTTTGGTAAATAATAAGAGCTAGAGTCACCAAACTTGACATGTAGCTTCTAGAATAGATATATATCATGTATCTTTCATTTTATAACTATCGCCACCTCCCCGCTGCCACCACATACCTATAAATCAAGTTAATAAACCAATTTGTATTTCCCACCAATATAAGCCACAATTTTAATGCAATTGAGAATATATATATATTCTATAGAACAATAATATCTACGGTTGAAAATTCAATCAAGATAGGTTAAGAAACAGAGAAGTTATGAAAGATAACGTGTTGTTATATATATATTGAGAGCCCACGTGTTGGCAGCTAGCGCAAAGCGCAAGAATTTCTATATACATGTACACATTTACGCGCGTCTTCATTGAATTCTATCAACAACATTGCAATTGAGATTGGATTGTACTCTGTGCTGTGTATATGTGCTGCTATTTTAATTGGTTTTTTTTTCAGTATCGATTAGTTGTTGGTTTGGCTGTTGAGTAGAGGCGGAAACAAGTAATGTTGTCTAT